TATATATATATATATATATATATATATATATAAAATATATAATAATAATATTAATATAATAGTATGTAATATTTATTATATATCATTCATTTTTCATTTTTTTAATTTATTATTATTTAATATAATTTATTTCTCTTAAATTTAAAAATTAAATTGAATTAAATTAAAAGAATTTAGATTATAAAAAATATATAATTTATTTAAAGTTTCCTCTGTTAATTAAAAAATATATTTTATTATAAATTGTATATATTTATACAATTTATATACAATTATATAATAATTAATAGATATAATATGTATAAATTTCCTTGATATTAGGTTTTATCTTACATATCAATATTCTTTCAATAGTTTCACTTGAAGTAGTAACATATATTATGTACTTTATATATGTATGATAGTCACAAGATGCCAGTCTAGCTTACTATAAATACTCTGTTGCACAAGGATGAATAGGACAAAGATATAAATAAGTAACTCTAAAGTAGCTTCATTATTAATGTTTCTTTCATTATCCATAAGATTATCATCATTTATAGGTTGTGATTTTAATATTTATTAGTATATTTAAAATAAAATATAAAATAAATAACAGTGAAAAATTACAAAGAGTTGATATACATAGATATCTTTATAGTTATGCAATATGTTTCATTGAGTGTTTTTTATTTGCATTGTGTATAGAATAATTATTTTAACAAACATCTGTCATATACAAAACCAGTCGCATGTTAATAGAATTTTTAAATTTCATTTTAAATAGTGGAAGTAAAATGTAATTGTTTTATAATAAAGCACCACAATGCTAGCAATATAAAACATTTTATTAATTTAGTTGATAATGATATAAATAAGTTATATATTATTTTTACATTTTTGCTATGATTCTACTTTTTTAATGTGAATGTGAAAGTTATCAATTTATAAAATAAATAATAAAAAATTTATTGTGATTCATTCTTATATACATATATATGTATATATATATATAGTACTGAATTTTTAATAATGAATAGCATACAACAGGTAGAATAATCAAATATATTTTGTATATATATAAAATTAAATATTTATATAATTTTTATATATTTATATTTAAAAAATTAAAGTACATGATTTAAATTTAATTTTCATTAATATTTTCACTTATATTTAAATAAATGTATTCTATTTTATTTTTATTAATAATCTTGATTTATTGTAATTATATTTTATAGATAACTGTGGTTAATTTCATATTTATATATTTATCATTATTGCTAAAAAAGGAAGTTCATGGAGTTAGTACAGTTACAGTAACAGAAGTTCCAGCTGGTCATTTAGCTGAACTTCCATGTTTAAGTAGTGATGATTATCATCGTTTTATGTTTTGGCAACTTAAAGATGATCATCATATCATTGGGCCTGGCAATCCAATGGATGAAAACAAGTATAATTATGAAGTGTTAACAGGAAAACTCTTCATCAAGGTAATTAATTAATAAATTCTATGAATTTTTTAATATTTTAATAGATTATATTTTATTAGAGCGTATCAACAGCTGAATCTGGTTTCTATAGATGTATTTCAAAAGGTATAGCAGATCATTCTGCTATCAATATACATAGTGTTGAATTAGTAGTTAAGAAAGATTGGGAAGATGTTTGGGAAAATGATTTTGAGGTATATCAAAATATTTCTAATTTTTTTTTTTTTTTCACTATTTATTTTAAATATTTTCTATTTCTATTTTACAGACAAATTTATTACGAGGTATGGCTGCTGTTATGGTAGTAGTCGTTGCTATAGCAATTGTTCTTTTTATTATTACTACAAAAAGAAAACGTAATCACAGATTTTTTGGTAAATATTATGAATATTTGCATTAATAAAACAAAATATAAAACAAAAGATCACATTTTTATGATCAATTGACATAAATAATTGTAGATTTAGAAGAATCAAGAGAAAATTCCCCTGAAAAATATACACCAAATGTTAATGCTGGTCCTGCAGTAACTGCACCAACAATTGAAGTTGGTGGTATTGATAATACAGCTCTTGATATTGATTTTCCAAGAGTGTTTAAACAAATGCAAAAATAAGATACAAATAAAATAAAAAAATAATTTTATAGTATTAAAAAAAATGTATAGTATGATATAAATAATATATTTAAAAAATATACATAGTTATATTTGTTTATGTATATATTAAATTGTATTAGTAATTAAATTAGCAATTATGCTAATAAATGTGTCATGAATAAAATACATAATCATATTTAATAAGTAATAAAATTTTAATTAAATAATATTTTATACATAAGATTTCGTAATATATTATATATAAATTATTATACATAATGTATGTACATATAAAATGATTAAATTGCTTAATTCATTATTTTAATATATATATATATATATTAAAATCTAATATAGTATTTCTTATATATTTTTATCACGTTTGCATTATTCAATATTTTTTTTTATTTATATTAATTATATTTATCATGTGTATTTATTGAGAATTTGGAACTGTTCCATGACTAGTATCCAACATATTATCATTAGTTCCATCTTCTTCTTCTTCTTCATCTTCTTCATCTTCAGGTTCAACTTCAGTTTCTAATAATCTTATTTTCCTATTACTTTCACTTAAAACAGCTGCTACTTTTCGTGCACCACTAACTGCTATTTTTTTAGCAGATATACCTTGAAAAGGCCGTGGCCAGCTATTATTTAAAAGATCAGCTAAACTAATTAAATTTTTATCTTGATTTCCAAAAATTCGGATGTGATTTATTGGTAATTGTACAAGATATGAGGCATGTGTTTGTTTACTTAGTAAAAGTAAACTAAGATATTCATTAGAATAAAATTGAAGATCAATTATAGTACAATCTGTGTAATTTTTAGAATATGATTCTACAATAAAGAAAAGAATATTAATTTAAAAATTAAAATATATATATTATATACATTCATAATAAAACAACAAACCTGATTTATGATCTGTATTAATTATAGCTAATTTAAAACTGAGAGAAATGGGTTCTGTATATAAACACTCAATTTTAAATAAACGTAATATTTTATGATCTAAATCACATGTAGCTACTAATAAACCATCATCATTTGTTGTAATTTGTGATGATGTAAATCCTATAGATGGTACCAAAGCAATATTTGATATAGTAAAATGTTCAACTAATCCTTGATAAGCTTCGCGAAAAACATTATGTATAGCAGTAATCAATTTTGCATGAGATTGTAATAAAGAATAATTAAGATCTTGCTTCACGATAAGCGGATGATCACGAAGACAATGATTTTCATCAAGCATTGTAGCCCACTCGCTTCCTTCAGGAGTTAAACAAGTTTGTAAATTTTCACGTCGTAAATATTGACCTAATTTTTCTAAATTCACTCCCTTTCTTCCTCCAATACCAGGCTCAGTTTTATCAAAGCCGCGTAAAAATTCAGCAATAAATGTTAACTCTTGTTGACTAACACGACTTACTTCAGATGGTATTCTTTCATCTGTCAATCTTAAAATTACGACATACAACCACCTTAAATAAAAAATATGTATAAAAATTAAAAAAATATTATTGAAAATTTTAATTTTTAAACATACCGAAAAAATGCTTTATAATCACGCATACTATGATCTATAACTTGTTGAATTTCAGAAGATTTTGCTAAAAATGCTTCTGATGCATGAAGAGCATTAGTTATGATGGTTTCATCAGTGAGTCCCAATAATTCATATGGACCACCCAATCTGATCATTCCTCTCATTTCAGCTAATTGATATACTAAGGCCATTCCAACACTAGTTAAATTTTTTAAAACTAATTTCTATAAAATAAAAATGAATTATTATGTTGAATATAATATAATATAAATAATATGTAATGAATATAATAATAAAAAAAATTAAATTTCTGTATCATACCTGTATATTACTATAGCACATTTCAATACTGTGTCCTAATTTTTTTAAACCTTTTTCAGTTAAATCACGTAACAAAAAATTTTCTAAATTTTGAGTAGGTATTCCAATCATTAATAATTCTAGGAAATCTGCAGCAACTCCACCAGGGGGATTTGTTTCTGCATATCTTGCAAGTTTTTCATCCATTTCTAGAAGAATTGTTTCCCAAGCTTCAGATATTGCCATTAATGTACGTGAAAGATAATCCATTAAATATTCAATATTAGCTTGAGCTTGTGCTACCTTAAATTTGAAAAAATCTTATGAAAATTAATATTATTTTAAAATATAATTTTTTAAAATGTATTAAATACCTTTAAAAATGCTGTACTTTGCTCTAATAATGGACACCATAATCTACATGTTTTAATACCATTTTTATCTTTCCATGTAATCCACATTGATTTACCAAATCCACCACTAATTTCTAATATTTCACCATGACCAACAGAAATTGTACCACAATAAAACATTCCAAATACATACATAGCAACATTTCCATCATTTAAACCAAGCTATAGAAAATATAATTATATATATAAATGATCATAATTTTATATATACATATATCTTAGTATGAAATATATAATATTTTGAAATATATAATATTAAGCTTACAAAAAGTACATCTAAAGTTTGAGATAAAAATTCTTTACGTTCTGGTTCTTGACCAAAACTTCTATTTAAACTAGGTAAAGGTGGAAGATATTCTCCAGTTGGTTGCATATTTGTTTTGTTACCATTTAATGAAGTATTGTTTTCTGTATTTGTTAATGGTAACCACATCATGCATGTAATTGCATTATGTAACATTAATTTTGTTTTATGTATAATATTTTTATTTTCAATATCTACAAGACAGACTAATTTAGAAATTTCATAACAAATTGCTAAAAGTTTTCCATCTGGTCTCCATGCTAAATTTACAACAGTATCAGATTCTTCTTGAGGACTTAATAACCACACTTTTTGCCATGTTAATCTATGTAATGTAACTTCTCCTACAATAATAATTTTAATTAAAATAATATTATTTATTATTTATTAATATTACATATTAATACTGTAAATATTACATTACTTATGATAAAATTACTTATGAATAAAATTATATTGAGTAAATTTTAATAATATATATCAAAATATCAAAAAACATTTTAAAATTATATTTAAAATTATTAATTGCATATAAAATTATGCGTAGAAATTTATAATAAATAATATATATAAATAATATATAAATTTTATTTCACTTATTAGTTCAAAAATCTAACCTTTTATATTTGCAATCGCTAAAAGATCCATTTTTGGAGACCATTGCATTCTTATTACTTCAGCTGGAAGTTGTCGTTCTTCTAATTGTCTCATACTACCTGCCATTTTTATAATATTCACAATTTAATTTGCAACAACATTCTGTTAAATAACTCTGTTAAAAACTCTATCTTTAAGGTTATGTTTGCTTAATATGTTTGTTTATATAAATAATGTTGTATATATATATATATATATATAACTAAGATGTATAATTATAAATATTTTTTCTATGCTAGACTCAAAAAGAAGTATATAAATCAATTAATCAATATAAATCAAATACATAATGTATACATATTCATATAATACATATACAAATATTTATGATCATTGACGTTTCACAAGATGAACTTTTATATATAATTTTGAAATTTTTATGTTAATTATATTTTAGAAAAAATTTAATTATGAATAAAATATAAGTAAATGAAAAAATAATAAAAACTTTATATAAAATTATTTTTACTTTTTTAATATTAAATACAATGTTATTATTTTATTTGTTATTTTAAATCTACATTTTAATCTATTACAATCATATCAAAATCATATTAATTTTTTTATGTTTAAAAAATTTACAAATAAATGCGGTAAGAATATGATGGTTAAATAAATTACCTAAACGCAATTGCTAAAAGCAATTTAACGAATGTTGAAGAAAATTTAAAATTAAAAATAAACACTGTCACTGGCTTGTTAATATGTTAGCTAGTTTTTAGGCATTATAAGTAAAGATTTTAAACAAATTTTTGATAAAAATATCATTTCGAATTTCATACGCTAACAATAAATTGTTATGATACATACAGCTGTACTAAATCTAAAGCTGAGATACGTCTTCTTGTCAGGAATGAGGCCATTGAAGTTCAGATCATAATTAGAGCAAACAAAATTTTCACGCTAACATGTTTTAAGATAACTTTGAATTTTATAATCTAAATGATAATTAAACATTATAAAAATATATTTCTTCATTAAAATTTTTAGTTGTTTTTATTTTATTTCATTTTTTATTTATTTATTTATCATTTTATATAATATAATTCGCATGTTTTTATTTCTAATTATAATTATGTTTACAATATTGATAGTTTGACTGCGTTTTATAATACATAAAACATATGATAATTTAAAATATGATTATGTAATATATAATTATTTAATTATTATATAGATATAGATAATTAAATTATAGATAATTAAATAAAATTTATTTTTTGTTCACAAATAGTATATATGTTCTTACTTATGATATGTTATAATATGATTATTATATATAATTAAATAAAATTTATTTTTTGATCATAAATTATTTACAAATAAGAAACAATATGATTATGTTATGATATGTATATGTTAAAAAATAGATAATGTAATTTATTAAAATATAATATATATTATGTTAAAATATATATAATATTATATTATGAATTATGTATTACTATTAAAAATTTTATTAAATTTATTTAAAAAATAATTTAAAATTTTAAAATCAAAAATTTTATTTCTTAAAATTCAAAGATAGAAAAATATAATGCATAAAGAGAAAATAAAAAAACAAGCAAAATTAATTTTTTTTTTTAACAATCTATTACATATATATAAAATTTCAATGAAACCATAAATAATTAATCTTTTTGATTTTTTTACTTCACATTTTTAGAAAAATAATTTTCATTATTTATGATTAAATTTTTTCAAAATTGGTTTAAAATCAATAGTATTGTTATTGTTTGAGAATTATTCACAAAGTAATTATTAAGTATTAATTAAAATCATAAAATAATTAATTAATTAATTTAAATCTCAATAATCGTAATATTCATATGGTTTTTAGTATCCATTCCTTTTAATAATTTTTATGGAATTTATATGGAATATAATCTCTTTGATCGATTACTTCATTTATTTATTCATTGATCTGTTCGATAATTGATTTTATAATTTAAATATTAATGAATTTGTTAAT